TAAACAAAATCAGGCTTCTGGAAATACTTCCATTCCTCAATATGGTTAGCCCATAGTCTTAACTGTGCTGTCATGAGGAGATAAACACTGCAAGCCAAATATTTCTCTGTCTCTGGCAAAGTATCAGTCTGCAAAGTCTGCTGCTTTTTGTAGACCGCATAAGATTAGTTTAAGAGCTTAGTTGTGGTACTTACAATGCTAACTATAAAGAAATATCTGCTTTGAATAATCAGTACACTATTAATATTTTTTTTGGCTGCCTATTTTAATCAAATAAGGTAACCTTACATACAATGGAGCACGTTCCCTTTCCGATATAGTTTATATTTCATGTCATGTCATGTCATTGAGCACTCATCCATTATTGTTTGATTTAACTCCTGCTTTCTTGCTCCTTTCTAACTTATTTTTATTCATTTGGGATGTGGGTGTCACTGGCTAGGCCAGAATTTATTACCCATCCCTAATTGCCCAGAGGGCAGCTAAGAGTCAACCAGATTGGTCTGGCATACATGTGACTCCGGACCCACAGCAGGTAAGGATGGCAGTTTCCTTCCCAAATGGGTTTTTCTGACAATCAATTCATGGTCATCATTAGATTCTTAATTACAGATTTTTATCTTACTGTGTGCAAACTGACTGTCATGTTTCTTATATTACAACAATATCTACATTTCAAAAGGCACTTCAGTAGCTGGATAGAGCTTTGGGATCTCCTGAATTTGTGAAAGGAGCTACGTCAACACAAGTCTATTTTTCTTTCTGGTAGTGGCCACTTTACAAACTGGTCAGTTTTCACTGGGTTGTCTACCAAGCAGAGAAATTTAGTTATCTATCTGTTGCACCCCATCACATTCAAATGGCTTAAAGATTTTGCACTATCGTTTCTTTTTAGGTGTTTGTTATGAAGACAAACACAGCAGCTAGTCTGCACAGGCAACATCCCACAAACAGCAACAAATTGAATGATCCCTTAATCTAACTTTTTTTGATGGCATTCATTGAAAGGGGAATTTGGCAGGACACCAGGAGAACTCTTTGCTCTTTTAATTGTTTCACCTGAACAGCAGATAGATGGAGCCTCTGTTTAAACATGACATCTGAAAAGCATCAGCCTTAACTCCTAATTAGCATTTCAGGTTACACTTTGGAGAACATAGAGAAAAACTCTGTCTTTCTCTCCACAGACGCTGCCAGACCTGCTGAGTTTTTCCAGCACTTTCTGTTTTGTCTCAGTGTTCTGGGCAACATCATCCCTTGACTAACACTAAAAAGCAGTTGAACAGCTCATTCATTTCACTGTAACATTGTGGTCCAGTGATATGCGCAAAGTAAGTGCTCAATTTACCTACCTGACAGCCACTACACTTGAGCACAGTTAATTGTTTAAGAAATGCTTTGAGAAGTGACAAGGTGTCATACAAATGAAAGTTATTTCTTCCCTATAAAGTTGCTCACAACTTTGCTGCTCTATTTAATCCCTAGATAAGCTCCCAAACTCAGTTCTGAGGAAGGGTCACTTGACCCGAAACATTAACTCTGATTTCTCTCCATAAATGCTGCCAGACCTGTTGAGCTTTTCCAGCAATATCTGTTTTTGTTCCCCACCTCTTATTCTCTCCATAACCAAGGTAACCAGCTTACATCTCTGCAACATTGTCTGACCCCACCCATCTCAGCTCATCTGCTGTCAAATCCTCATTCATGCATTTGTTACTTCTATGCTTAATTATTCTAATATACCCCTAGCTGGTCTCCAACATTCCACCTTCAGTGAACTTGAGTTCATTCAAAACTCTGCTGCCTATTTCCTAATTTATACCAAGTCCCTTTTATCCATTACCCCTGTGATTGCTGATCTGCATTGACTCTCAATTCACCAACACCTCAATTTTACAAATTTCTGCCTCTTATTCAAAACCCTCTAAGGCCCCACCTTTCATCTCGGCGAATTCCTCCTGCCAATAACTGTAGGATCTCTGCGCTCCTTCAATTCTGGCACCGTGCACATTCTCAGTTTTAATTACATCATCACTGGCAGTCAGGCCTTCAGCTGCCTAGGCCCTAAGTTCTGGAAGCTTTCTTTGTTCTACTCCTTTAAAGTCAGAAGTCACACGACACCAGTTTATAGTCCAACAAGTTTATTTGAAATCACAAGCATTTGGAGCACTGTTCCTTCGTCAGATGAAGCAGAGTGAAGCGCATAGGCACAGAATATACGTGCACTGCCCTTCACTTCACCTGACGAAGAAGCAGCGCTCTGAAAGCTGTGATTTCAAATAAACCTGTTGGACTATAACTGGTGTTGTGTGACCTCTGACTTTGTCCACCCCAGTCCAACACCAGTTCCTCCACATCATGTCTGAAGTCATCCTTTAAGTCATTCATTGAGACTTCTTGCTCACCCGTCTTACCATCTCTTTATAGGGACACTTGTTATTCTTATGGAGAAACAGTGGCAGAATCTTACCAGGTTCTGAGTAATATGGGCTATGGCAAGTTGAGTAATAGAATTGGATGAGACGTTCGGTGATGCCAGTCTTGATATCTCGGTTGCACCTCCCTGTCACCATCATTGCTGGGGGATCTCCCTCAGATGTACACTCCAGCACACGGAGCCAGTTAACAGTAGGCAATGATGAGGGGTAGGGGCCTAAGGTGTTGAAGTCAGCTGATGACATTCACGTGTATTGCAATCCCTGCTCCCATAGGATGTATTTGGCGCTTTTCATACAATTCTAACCATTGTGCCTTGTTAATGGCTAAAGAGTGATGCTGCAAGACACTGTGAAGCATCTACAGGCAAAACAGTTACAGGGAGAACCAAAGAAATGGTGAAATGCAAGAGATTATAAAATATAATAACATCAACTAAGATTGTATGAAAACCAAACTTACATGGCATTATTGGGAAAAGAAACTATTTACATGACATTATATGATTAACAAAAGCTATTTACATCATATTATTTGTTGCACAAACTACATACGAGTTTCCCAGTTGTTGTCCACATGTGGTTTCTTTGAGTTTTCTTCTCCTCTCCCTCCTACTTTGACACACTGACCTCTCCAGCTCTGTAGATGGGATGGAGGAAGCCTCATCCATTGTGGACCCTATTGGCTCCTGGAGGTTTGATAGGGCAATCCTGGGAATGTATATCTCTAGAGAGCCCTGACATGCTGAGGGTCTTCTTGCCAGAGACAAGTTCACCATCCTTGGATGGAACTTCCAAGATTTGAAGGGGGACAGTTAGTGTGGAGGTGGAATGCCCTCCAACTTGGCAGTGTCCCAAATGGAAACTGTAGATGGGCCAGTGTGTGGCTCTTCCTTTGCCCTGTCTCCTTGTGAGGAGGGGGACCTGGACTAGGTTCAAGGTTCCCTATCCCATTCTCACCCCAATTTCACTCCTGAAGGTAATGGGTATGGTGACGGAGTGCAGGTGTTGTTGACTCTCCAGCAGACCCTGACAGTGCTGGACCTGGCTGTCCGTAGTCGCCACCAACCTCTCCATGGAGGTAGGCAGACAGTCACAGGAGGGGTTGGAGTGTTGCAGAGTCAGGGCAATAAGAGGCAGCATGTTGATGGACTGCCTGCACTATTGCAGTGTCTGAGCAATGACAGCAATGGGTGGTTGAACTGGTTGCATCACTCCAGCATCTCGACTACGAAGGCCAGTGACTCCTGTACCCCTGCCTACCACTGCTGCTCCTCCCTGCACATTGGGATGTAGTCCCTCATTGTTGAAACCACAGGGTTACCTCCTGCTAGGGGCTCGTCAGCTGTCTGGCTCTCTGGCAGTCCTCCAAGTGGCCTGGGCATTTCTCTCCCACCTATGTGCAGAGCTGTCATTCCCTGGAACTCAATATGGGCCCTTATAGAGCCCACTGAGATGCCTGCATCCATGCTGAGGGTGCAGGGGTGGGAGTGTCCAGGGATAGGGTAGACAATGATCCCTTCAATGCACTGTCACCTGAGAGGGTCAAGGAGCTCTCCTCTGTGGGAGACGGGCTGGTGCTTGGGAGGGTGGCTGAAGCCTTTGCGGCCACTGGTTAGTTGTCAGTGTTCAACGCCTGGCTAATGTGGCTGTTGCAGGGGAGGACATGGATATCCGGCATTCACCACCTGTCTGTCATCATTTCAGCCTGCAATGGGATGTCTTTTCCTATAATGACGTAAAGAGTCTGAATGAGTAAGACACAAGTGGGTGGCACAACTGTTGGTGCTGGTGCATGTGGAGAAAGGTGTTGAGTATCCCAAAGGACTGAAAAGGCAGCACACATTGAGCATCCAATGTTAGTCATGTGGGAGAATGGGAAGGTAATGAAAGTGAGTGAGGGAAGGTGTTGCATGCAACAAAAAGACTGTCACAGATAAGTGTTGGAGGGAGGTGAGTGCAGTGCCACAGATAATTCCAAGGCAAAGAGCAGAGCAGTGCACCAGTGCATCTGGCAGAATGGAAAAAATCTTCTCCCTGCACTGCTGCCCAGTCCTCCTCACCCTGGAAATGGCACTGTCCCAGGTGGCAACCTCCAACCATGCTGGCATGGTAAAGTAGCATAGCCTCCTCTGCCAATTCTCTGGTAAGAGGACTCCTCTCCTCCCCACAACCCTGTCCACAAGGACCTCCAGCTCCCTCTTAAAGAAGCATGGTGCCAACTTCCCCTTCTCACCCATTTCTCCTCACCTCTTCCACAGCCAACCAGTACCACTTCCAGATGGGAGCACTCCTACAGATGCACAACAGTCTTTGGATGATGCCACAGCCACCAGGGGGACCTCCTGAGGACCTATAGAATGGCAAGTAGCTCCGGGAATGGCACGTGATAAGATGGAGTGGAAATCAAATGTATTTCTCTCACAAGGGCTCAAACAGCAATTCATGCAGCAACTTTGGTAAGAGATAGTGAGAAAACTCACTCAGCTTTGTGGCAAGAATCACCCTATAGAACTTGAACCAACTCATACTCTGCCAAAAAAACATAAGATTCAGTCCAGTATCTCTGATGTACTGTAATTGTTTTAAGTAATGTGTTTTAATGGCTATTCATTCTAAAGTGAAAGCAAGTTACAACAAAGGTAGCGGTCACATAACTACAGCAAACCTGCCAGTACATTCTGTACAAATGTATTTCTCCAAGCATCTCCCAATGATGTCAACCTGTATAATGAGAAGTCAGAATCATCAGCTGACATCTCCCAGCAGTTGTATTTGTAGCCTTGCTTTGCTTTGTTCTAGCTAAATACTTGCATGATTCAGCTTCTTGCATTTAGAGTACCATTTTCTCCACATTGGACATGCTTCTTTTTCTCTTGTGTGGTGTTCGCTGCAATATTTATATTCTATCTTCTTGCCTCGATTTTTTTGCCAGTTCTTCTGCAAGTATTTCTCCCTTTGTTCCAATATGTTGCTCCCATTTGGTGTAGAATATCTCCCTGCAAAATGCAAAGACTTGTCTGTTCTCCCATTGGTACACTCTAGCAGATGGTTGACAACCTCAGAGCTTCTGCACATATTGATAGCTTTCCTGAGATAAGGTTGTTGGCTCGTTCACCAAGCTGGCTGGTTATCATACAGACGGTTCATTACTATGCTAGGTAACATCATCAGTGCAGCCTCCGATGAAGCAATGTTGTTCTACTCCACTTAGAATTTATATGATCCTGTCTGTTAGGTTGGGTTGTGTAATTTCCAGTTCTGTTCTGCATGGATTTGTATGTGGGGTCTAATTCCACGTGTGTTGATTGCATTATGGGTTGAAAACCAGGCCTCCAGGAATTCCCATGCATGTCTGTGGTTGGCTTGAGCTAAGATGGTCACATTGTCCCAGTTAAATTGATGGCCTTCATTGTCTGAGCACACTGAGATGAGGGAAAGTTTGTTGTGTCGTTTTGCCGCTAGCTGGTGTTCGTGTATCCTGATGGCTAGTTTCCTTCTAGTCTGGCTGATATAATGTTTGTTGCAGTCATTGCAAGGTATTTTGTAAACTACGTTGTTCCTGCATGTCATGGGTATGGGATCTTTGGTCCTTGTGAGTGTTTGTCATAATGTGGCTGTGGGTTTGTGTGCTACCATGATTCCTAGTGTTCATAGGAGTCTCTTTGGCAGTTCTGATATGTTCTTGATATAGGGCAGTGTGGCCAGTGTATTGGGGCATACTGTGCCCCCTTGGCATTGTCTATCTAGTAGGCACCTGCCTAAAAAATAGTGGACAAATAACCAAGACAGACTACCTGAGAATGAAACCAGAAGGCTTGAATACTCCCCGCTTCTACGGACTACCCAAAGTACACAAACCAGACATCCTCCTCAGACCCCTTGTCTCCCTACCAGGCACACCTTCACACAAACTGGCCAAGGACCTACAAGAGAGACTGAAACACCTGGTCAACGAATCACCCCACTCCATCCACTCAACCCAAGAACATTAAAATCAACGACTACGAGATTATGGTATCCTTTGATGTCACAGCACTATTCACGTCCATTAACATACTACTAGCCAAAGAAACACTTGCCTCATTACTGGATATAGCAGGAACGCTGACTCCAAACAGCTCCATCAGCAAAGACAACATACTCAGACTACTGGATCTATGCCTCACCACACACTTCATCTTTAACGGCCAAATATACAAACAAATCAATGACACACCTATGGGGTCACCCATCTCAGGACTTATTGCAGAGGCAGTCATGCAAAGACTAGAACACATTGTCCCTCCCCCTCATACAGCCAAAACTGTGGATCCGATACGTGGACGACATGTTTGTCGTCATTAAACACACCAAGTTAGAAGAGACGCACCATCTCATCAACAACATTTTCACTGGGATCAAATTTATAAGAGAAGAGGAAGACAACAATCAACTTCCGTTTCTAGACATCAGGGTAGGACGAATGACCAACGGGGAGATCCAAACCAAAGTGTATAGGAAGGCAACCCACACTGACCAAATCCTCAATTTCCACAGCAACCACCCCAACGTCCACAAAAAAAGCTGTGTTAGGACACTATTCAAACAGGCCACAACTCATTGCAACATGCCAGAACTATGCAGGAAGGAGGAAAAGAACCTAAAGAAGGTCTTTGCTAACAACGGCTATCTCAACAACATCATCTGCAGGTGCCTACTAGATAGACAACAACAGGAAGACACAGTATGTCTTAACACACTGGCCACACTGCCCACATGTGGAATTAGATCACATATACACACCCAAGCAGAAGAGAACCGGAAATGACACAACCCAACTTAACAGACCAGATCATATAAATACCAAGCAGAGTAGAACAACATCGCTTTATCAGAGGCTGCACTGATGATGTTACCTAGCATGGGGATGAAACGTCTGTACGATAACTAACCAGCTCAGTGAGCAAGGCAACAACCTCATCCACAACCCGAGCTACAAAACTTCACAAGAACCTTTCCTGAGATAAGTTTCTCCTCTTTCAGCAGACATGTTCTCATGGCGGGATCTTGTATGCCCAAGATAATCTGATCTTTGATGGAATCATCTTTCAGTTGTCCAAACTCACAGGACTCAATTAGAAAAATCATACAATCATATATTGAGCAGTAGTCCTGCTCTCCCTCAGGGCTCTGACATTGAACAGATACTATTCATCAATAATATTAATATGAGGCTCAAAGTATGTCTTCAAAGCCTGCAAAATCTTTACTCCTGAGTGATGTCTAGGATGCAACATAGCTTGTAGCATTCTTTTGCCAAAATTGATAACAAGTTTGCAATTCTTATTTACTCAGTCTTATATTATTGTAATTATTTTATTTAATTATGTAGTTATTTCATAGTTTTGCAACTGAGACTTCAGCAAATTGCAATTCTGTCTCATATCTCCTTTTAATACCATAGTATTGGGGAATGGAAAAATCACAGTCATTCTATCTCACCCAGCACCTCAAAGTTGCAGATTGCTGGTTATAATGTTTTTTTTGGAGTAGCTGGCTGTCTTGCAACT